CCCCCCCCCCCCCCCCGGGGCTGACTGGAGAGGCTGCTAGTGGGCCAGGTGCTGGCCCAGTTCAGGACTGGGGATAAGCTGGAGCAGGCTGGGTGCTGCCTCTGAGCTGGGGCAGCACCCAGCCTCCTAGCAGCCTATCTTGGCGACCCCAGGAGGGCCACTGCAGCTCACAGGCTGCTCGGCCCACTGATGGCTCATCCCCCAGCCATGGGCAAGCTCCACTGAAAAAAGAAAAAAAAAAAGGATCTGTGATGGAACAGTGATGGAAACTCCTGAATTGAAATGGTGGGTTTCAATTAAAAAATTTCAATTTAGGGGGCCATATGATGCAACCCTAAGGACTAAAGCCCCATCACATGTACAAGCACCCAAAAGGGCCAGATTCAGATATGAAGTAAGCAGGTTCAACTCATCTGACTGCGGTGGATATGACACTCCTTATACCAAGGTTCAATGTGCCACTGGGCCTAAAGCTGGCTATACCATGTCCACCTCCAACCCATGGTTCAGTTTATGGCTGGCCCTAGTTCAGCCGACAACCTACTGATGCTGCGTGGTCTCAGGATGTCTGCACTTTGACCTTCCTCCCTGGCACTTCAAACTTTGGTTGCACCTGGGGAGATGAGGGACTTTAGAAATTTTGAGGGCAGCTTAGAGGAGGCATTTTGTGGAAAGACTGTTGTATTTGGGGACGAAAAAAATAATACGAGGAACAACTGGAAATTCAATACAAGTGCAGATGAGTGAGCATTGGTGATTTAACCTACAGTAGCAGAAACCTGGTGTGTAGCTACTAGCAAGGCCACTGTTTCTCCTCTGTCCTTTTTCCAACCCCCCAGCCCCCCTCCCAACCCCTTCAGCTGCATGTTCGGCAAGACTGCAAGCGTGTTCTGTCAGGCCAATACCCGGTTAAGCATTGTTATTATGGGGAGCACAGGCAGAGCCCTTGTAATTGCTCCACTGATGGCGTAATGGTCTCTCAGAGGATTCAGCCCAGGCACAGTAATGACACAGCTGGCCTGTCTCGCCCGATGGGATCATTTCCACTTTATTATAACTGTGATTTCCAGCTCAATAATTCCAGAATATTTTTAGCTCCTGAGGGGGGGAAATTTGCTGAGTTTGCTGGCTTGACTTTTTTTTTCTCCCCTTCCTTTCTTGTAGCTGGCAGCCAGAAGAAAAAGATACTTCCAAGCAAAGTCAGAGGAGGCTCTGCCATGCTGCACCCTCCCTGCACCCCTCAGGGGAAGGAGGGAAACTTACTGCAAGATCCTGAAAGATCACATTGTGTTGAGCTCAGTTAGGGTCTTCTCAGAGGTATGATCAAGAGCGGTGGGGTGAGCTGAGCAATGAGAAATTCAGGTTGAACTTTAAATTAGTACACTAGGCTGTGTCAGATCACGGTATAAGGAAGGGGAACCCCAATGCCTGAGTCATTTAAAACTAGACTTAACAACACCTTGGTAGGTAGATCCCAGAAAATAGTTTTGCCCTGACCCCTAGGGGGATCTACTAATTCAATAGCTTTTTTCTACCTCTGATGTCTAGGCTTTGCTCCCAGTCTTGGCCCCTCATGTTATTGGCTTGTCCCCCATCACTAAGCAAAGGAGAGATTAAATTAGGTTTTTCAGTCCTCCTGCAACTCAGAAGAGAGCAGGAGGTCTGCTCAGTCTTCCCCCTGCCACTGGCAGATGACATGGTAACTCAGCTGTAACTTATCTTTTTGCCACCTGTTTGATGTGAAATGTAATGTGCAAAGCTAGGGGAGGCAAGACACAGTCACAGAAACTATTTTATTGCCCCAGTGCCATGCGCAGACTGGTCCTGCAGATTGTCATTTCTATAAACTGGCTTGGATCAATGTGTTCTGATAGCAGAGCATGGAGCCTTAGGTAATTATTGGATTTTGTTTAAGTGCTTTATTGGATTTTATGAGCATCATACAAACTGGAGAAACCGGAGGAGACATGTCCTGGTGATATCCACAATAACCAATTAAAATCTCAGCCAAGTTTTAACTCCATTTTCAATGAACTATGGTGAGGCAGTACTTATCTCTATAGGGTGAATGAAGACCTCATTAACTGGGTTTAATTGAGAGCGGCAGCTAGTGGTTTTTATACATTAGGGAGCATTTTTGTAGACACAGCATCTTTCAAATGCATACACTAAAATATTTTCATGAATCCTATAACTGGTACAGAATTATTTCTCCTCCTTCCAGTGTGGAGGGCTTGCTACAGTTGCTGAGATTATTTGACAGGTGAAGCATCAGTTAATATAATCAGCCTTTTTTTCACGTAAAAAGATTTTTATAAACCTATTGTTATTGTGAGGTTTTCCTTGTTGTGGCCTCTCTATGAATTCATCCCCCAAATAACCTAGTAATGATAAGACACACTTTTTACAATACTTTATTTGTGAAGATCTCAAAGCACTCAACAGTAATTAAGCTGCACCATACTTCCATGAGGTGGGGAGGTATCTACCCCTTTGTACAGGGGAAGAAATGGAGGCACAAACAGATTTAGCATTTCCCACACCTCCAGGCGTGCAGCCAGTCAATGACTGCCTGACATATGGAGTCCCAGATCCCAGTCTCATGCTGTGGCTACTAATACCTCTTAATAGAGGGACACTGAAAGTAGGTGAGCCAGTTGTTATTATAAACAAAAGCAATGTGACAAAACCCAGCTATTACCATGTTATTTGAGGTCTACAATGCAGTATGTGTGATAGACAAAGGGTGGCAAGAAAAGCAGAAGATAAATGATGCATTACACAATTATTCTCTCTCTCTTTCTCTCACTTTCCCATGCACATACACACACATGCTCTTCCAAAACCTACTGTGACCAAGAGATAGTGACTTCTCTTTCCCCTCTTCACTGGCATCAGATGAATGGACAAGTGGATGAAGAGACTTTAGCACAGAGGCTGCATGAGTTGGTGACAATTTAGCTCTGAGGAACTGAATTGACTTCATTAATTCTGAGAGCAGCAAAAGATTATTTCATTCATTTGCCATTCATTATTTCATGTATTCGGCATGTAGTGCCTCATTTTTTGAGTCTTTCGAAAATTAATTTTCAGGACTGTAGGTCATTTTTACTTTGTGGATCTTTCCTTTCTAATAATGTTAATTCCCTTTTGAACATGCTAGCTTTATACAGGTAGTTCTAGTTACTTCAGGACTTTCATTCTAATTTCTGTTTTCATATGCTTGCAATACCTTGAAAAATGTTTCCTTTCTAGCTGAAATGGTTCAGGCTTGGCGTCTGTTTGAAGTGTAATGGTTGTGGATAGTTTAAACAATCCTTTCTACCATTAGCATTTAAGAAATAAGGGAAAGGGAATTTCTGCTGGAGAATAATAATTTCTAATAATGTCTATCACACCACTAATTTTGTGGGGGAGGGAGAGGTAAGACAGTCTAGTGCAAAAATGCTCAGTCCCAACAAGTTCAGGTGCCACAGAAGCAGTCTGTGTTAAAACCACAGCAACATCTGAACCCCTCAGTGAACTGTGACAATCACACCCCAGTTCAAAAGAAAGAATGGAAGCATATAGTTACATGTGTTGTGTTAGTGTAGTTGATTGCATTATTTGTGATTGAAAGAAGTGTACCCACTGCATGCAGTAAACAAAATAAACAAAAAGCACACCATGAATAAGATTTTCTGCAAAACACTGCAGGTGATAAGATAAAGCTGATTTGTGGCTTAGGATCTGCAGCATGAATATCACTGGTAGAGCAGTTCGGGTGCTCACCAGGGACATGGGAGACAACTTCTGCTCTTTCACAGACTCTCTTTGGATATGTCTGTACTGGTGGTTCTCAACCTTTCTAGACTCAAGGCCCCCCCTCAGTCAGTTTGAGGCACCCCTCCGTGACTTCTGTGAACTCAAGTTTCAAAAATAAATGTATATATTACAGTGCTTACCTCTCTGCAGAGGGATCGGACAGTAGGCAATAGAGGTGGGATCAGTCAGGCAGGGACAACCCTGAGCCTGCACTTATCTGCTTATCTCTTCACACCTTGTGGCACACTTTAAAGGATCTGGGGGCACCCCAGTGTACCCTGGTTGGGAATCACTGCTCTACACTGTGGCAACAGAGAGGTCAGTTTTGGTACCTAGGCAGTACACCCCACCCACCCCTGCCTGCTGTGTGAAGAGATGCACTCTATTCATGGCTTGCGTTTTTGACTGACTTAAGAGCAGTGGCTTCAGGCACCCCCAGAAGGTGTGTCCAGATGAGCGTGCCTCTTGCCCTGTCTCAAACCCCTTTGAGGTGGGGCACGAGGCACGTGAGGGAGTGAGAAAATGCTCCCCACGCTGCAAACTTTCAGTGCGGGGAGTAAATTAGAACCCTGGAGATCCAGGGGTCTAAAAAAAATGAAGTTTAAAAAAGCAGGGCAGGGCACAGTTCCAGACTGTGCCCTGAGGCAACCAGAGGCTCGGTCCTCCACGGAGACGCTCTGGCTGCCAGAGCATCTCTATGGTTGGCCCCTCGCCCTGGTGCTGAACACACAGTTGCGTGTTTAGCACCAGGGCTCCAGTGCTGTAAGTAAGGGGTCAGGGGGCTGAAGGAGGGGGGAAGGGACTGGGGGGGACCCCCACCAGCCCTGCCCACTCCCCCAGCCCTCC